GGAAACCAGTGCTGCTTTGAAGGGAAGAAAGAAAATGAATATACTTTTTCCAAGCAGGGAGCTAGAGTCACGGTCATAGAGTTTAAGGCGAGATGAGACCACTAGATCATCTAGTCCGCGATTTCCTCTATATCACAGGCCACCAGCACCGCCCTGCACCATAGCTACCTTGTATGCTGTCCTCGAATCCCACTCCTCACCTGAGCAGGAAAGCTCATTGGTTCAATGGTAGCATTACTAAGGCCTGGTCTACACTAACCCCCCAAGTCGAAGTAAGGTACGCAACTTCAGCTACGTGAATAACGTAGCTGAAGTCGACATACCTTAGTTCGAACTTACCGCGGTTCAGATGCGGTCCACACGCGGCAGGCAGGCTCCCCGTCGACTCCGCGGTACTCCTCTCGCCGAGCTGGAGTACCGCAGTCGACGGCGAGCACTTCCGGGTTCGACTTATCGCGTCCAGACCAGACGCGATAAGTCGAACCCAGAACTTCGATCCCCAGCCACCGAACTAGCGGCTGGGTGTAGACCAGCCCTAAGTGGTCCTGACAGGATAGATCTTTTGTCTTAATTTACTAGGCACTGAAGGTGGTGACCTAATAGTAGTCTTGCTCTGGAAGTCTTGCTTCTTCTAATCCTTTCTGATGACTGGTTGGCAGAGGTCTTGACTGCTGTCAGATTCAATAGTCAAGAGGTTTCATCTTTGAGGAAGAATGAGCCCAGGAGCTCAGTGTAGAGCTGCAGCTTTCAGAATTAGTCAAAAGTCAGTGTTCAGGCTTGGCAGGATCCTTTGCCTCAGGTCTTCATCAAGATGCCAGTAGAAAGAGCTTGAAGTGGGCTGCCCTCACTTTGTGTCCTCTTGGAGGAGTGATACATTTGAGCATCCGTCAGGGATGTATCCCTTGCAAAGACTAAAAAAGCAGCTGGAGTGCCCATCACTGAGTGGGATAGCAGCCTCACAAGAGGGGCAAGTTTTAAATCTTGGGGATTGTTTCAATCATATTGGCTTGTGGCCCAGTACAAGGAGTATCAAGCAGCTGCTGCCCCTCCCAACCAGATGTAAACAAATAAACCAAAAAAGCCCTTCTAACTGCACTACCTGCCTAACGAGATTGCAGAGTGTGCAGAGTAAGTGGACACTGCAGAGGTTCCACTTTGCTGCCAGGGGTGGTAAGAAGGAACTGAGGGACAGCTGGGTCTGCTCTAACCTTTATGCCCTCAGCTGAAGGAGCAGGAGAACATGTAGGGTGCAGCTGTGAGCCCACTGGACAGCACTAGCCAAAGAGAATCAGCTTACATGTGCACCAGAACTGGAATCCATGTGACAATCACTCAAAGAACCTAAACAGTACATAACACCATTACCAGAGCAAAGCTAAAAAACTGAGCAAACTGTCTATGGTGTCCTCTAAATCTTAGTAATAAACCAGAAACCTAAAATCGCAGGCTGAAGTACTTTAGGTTAAGTACCTTTATACACAAACAGAAGCAGAACCTTTTTGTGCTAGTTTTCTTGTTTATGGGCTTTTACTATGGTGTTCATCATCATAGTATTGGATACTAGTTAAGAGAGATCTTGTACAGTAAGTACTTCAGTCTAAGAACAGTGGGATTTTCAAAGTGAAAGATGGATGGATTCATTGGACAATACATTTCATCCAGCATTATTCTCAAAGAAACACTACAGTGCTTGAGCAAGGGTTCTATAAAATATCAATTGCCAAGCATTTTACCAACAACATTTATGTTTTGGTCCTTGAAAAGAACTCCTAACAGTTATGTTTAGTATGAATCTCACTTTTATTCTTCAATACTTTTAACCAACAGACCTAAGTAGTCTCCATATAAGTTATATAAAGCTGTGGAAGACCCTGATTATCATGCTATGTAGAAAATGTTCATAATTCTACATCAAATTGAGTGATCAGTTGGAAAAGTTCTTGAGTTTCACCAGTATTCAAAAAAGTGTGATTACAATAGCCTGTGTCAATAGTATGTATACTGTTCTGTCAAACGAACTTTTAATTTTGAAAAGGCACTTGCTTGTTACTCAAATGGCACTGTTTTTTTTCTCTCTTTTAAACTGTATCTATTCCTTTGAGCCTAGGTGATTAAGTCCCAAAAGCTGACAACTGAAATATATGAAGGAAGAACCTTGAATTCAATAATTAGAATAAGAAAACTGCAAATAACCACAAATTGTATTTTCACGAGGATACATTAGAATATTGGTCCATGCAAATTTGTCCCTTGGGGCCACATGTAGAGCTAAATTGGATTTATTACTGGAAAGTAATAGAGTCTGTGGCCAGCCAAGAGCCTACCTGGAACACCAAAGAGTGAGGCAGAGGATTGAAGTCTCTTCACCCTTTCATGACTCACTCACTCTTACTAGTAAAAAACCATCCAGATCCAGAAGTCACATACAGGACTCATACTGCACAAGGCCACGCTTTACCTCTTCTGATAGAAGAGTCTGAAGCAATTATTCCATTAGAACTTTACTAGTTGGTAAGAACAGGAAACACAAAGTGACTAGACCAGTAATTTTCATCTGAACATTGCATTTTTATGAGAGGTATAAATATATTTCCACAGTTGAAGCTGTGCTGAATTAGGAAGCGGGCAATTCATGTAATTGTAATTGAGGGTATAAAGTATGTTTTGTTTCCTACAGAAAAACACAAGACCAGGTATATTTCACAGTGTTATTCACATTTTCATTTTGTTTTTACAGCATATACAAGTGAACATTACATTATTCATTATGAACCACAAGGAGCAGGAGACAGACCTAATCAGGCTAGACAAATTGGTCCATAAACAATCCATATCAAAAGGATACCCTTGAGAAAAAAAAAAGCCTAGTGGTTCTATCCAAACCTCAATACACTTACTATGTATTGAAGGAGGGTGGGGGGAAGGGAATCGATCTTCAGGTGCTTGTATCTCTTCTGTGCCAAAAAATTCTGTTATGAAAATGATTGGGAGAAGATGATTCAGAGGCTACTGAATATGTTACAGCTTGAAGATCCTGTTTAAAGCCAACCATGGTAGAATAGGCTGGTAGGGGGCTGGAAGTACTGGAATGGTGATGTCAGCTTCTGCATAAGAGTGCATGCTGCATCGGTTATAAACACACCCAGCAGCATCGCGTTCAGTGTACCACTAACTGAGGTGAATATCAGCATTTTACGTTGTAACATATGCACACAGTTTGTACAAAGGACAGAATAGAGAAATTGAAAAATATCTCAAAGTGAACCTTTGGATTCCCATCGCCTGTGTCAACAAGGCATAATCTTCAAGGCTATTTTATGTATTTTGAGGGAAAGTCCCAACTCAAGATGATTGGGGTTCTACCTCTAGCAGAGAGGAAGTCTGGTGTTGAAAACTAACCTTCATGCAACAAATAACTGGAATGGAAATTAGAACTGTGCTTACGAAAAGTCAGAAGCAAACCACTAGATTACTGAGGAGGGAATTAATGACAGATCCACAGTCTCAGACGTAGGCCAGACTAACCTCCAGCAAGCTGCTTTGTTAAAGTAATGCTACAAGAATACAACAAAAAGATATATAACACCTAAAATTTTATGCTGCAAGGAAACTTCTGTAGATTTTGATAGGAACAGTAAGATGACAGAACTCCATATACAAAATTATACCACTGCTGGTTCTTTTTTCCTCATCATCAGAGCCTTACCATAACAGACTTATGTCATCAGTGCTCAAGACATAGACTCCAATAGCTTGTAGATTAAAAAAAAAGTTATGCCATCAAAATTAATGTTCTACACAAAATACTTCAACAAAATACAAGCACTTTTTTCATCTTTCAGAAACTGAAAGTAAGCTTTTTTTCAAAATATTTCCATAGGCAAAGGATTAAAAAGGATTTTAATTATACACATATGGTCACAATTCTGCCTTAAAAAGATCATTGGGAAATGTACATAAGGCCGCTTGTAAATGTACATCATCTTCATGTTACTGTTACAATGTCATATGTCCAGAGAAAAAAATTGACAGTATCATACATATTTGCTTTAGGTTGGGAGTAGGCTATTCAAAAATACAGTACTCTTCTGTACAAAAAAATCATGCCACATTTATTAAGATGGAAGAAGCATTGGTTTCTCGGGTAACCAAATATTTCAATCCATTTCTTGCTTACTATTCTTATTATCCTGACTTAAATTTTCAACTGATTCATTTCCCAAAATGTCCATATTAACAGAATCAACAGCTATGTTATAAAGAAAACATAATGTTTCTCACAATAGATAAAAAGAAAGCTGGTTCATATTTCTGAAACCATATAAAGATAGAATTTTTAAAAAATCACTCTTGATTTGTTGAAATAAATTTACATTATACAACACTATATGCCAAGGCAAAGAGGGGAGGGGGATATGAATATACACTAAAATGCAAATTTTTGTCCCCAAAGGGGGTAAAACAAATTACATTTACAGCATGAAGGTTTACAAATGTACATCTGTACAACCAAAGTAAGCATCACTACTAAATTAGCAAGGCTTGTAATAAACATCGAAACAAGAGATTTGTTTTCAAACTGTAAACTTACACCTATTAACTACACGTATACAATGCATATATTTATAGGAAGCAAAAAAGCTATCTGAATATTTAATCATGCTTACATGTTGAGCTATCAAGTTTACTGTTCAGTGGCCCCTTTTCTCCTCCATCAATACCTACTTTTTTGCATCTACTGTGAGAAAGCAAAATAAATGCTCAACACTTTCAAATCATGTCTTACAATTCTATATGCAAATTAAAAAAATACAAAACTCTACTCTTCCCGCATTGCGAAACTGACTGTAAAGTTAATGCAGGATTATTCTCTATTCAGACAGTACTTTATTGTATGGAAGTACCACCATGATTTTATTCCTCTACCTTGTACAACAATATATAAGTATATACACATCACTTTTTTTTTTTTTTTTTTTTTTTTTTTTTTTTGTGAAAATATTAGGGCATTGCATTTTTAAAAAAAAATCATGGCCACAGCAAATGACGGATGCTTGTCTTTAAAGTTTCCATTGTTTTGTCAATCCCTACTTTAGTTTGCCGTGCCCTTTTTGCTATTTGGATATGTTGTGAACCACCAAAATACAACTTAACTTTCTGTAACATGTTAAATATTTATGCAGTTGATCTATTTTAATCTGGTATAAAAGACTCCACACAAAGGGGGGTTGGGGGGGGAGAAAGACATTCTATTTACAACTCTAGAAACCTGTTGTGCTGTGATAGTGGGTAGACCTACCAGATTGCAAGCCAGTGTATTAAAAGAATAATGTACTTTTTCCCTTTAAAAACTATTTTTCAGTGACTTTACAAGGTAAAAATTTACAAAATATGTGACAGCTATTTTGATACAATTACATCATATACAGGCATTCTGTGCTTTGTCAGCAGTTCAATCTGATAGGTCTCCGGGCCAGGGCTGGAGATATTTTATAATTCACTCCCAAAAAATATACACAAGAACAATAAAAATTTTACAAATGGATGAACAGAGTCAATAAATAGATTTAAAAAAATCAGAACATTTATAGTTAAGTTGTGGGTTTTGATAATTCACAATGAAATTTTTCTTTCATTCAAGTTGCTGCCTGTATGTCTGGTCTTTTACAGCATCCCATTTGGTGGTCCTCCGATTGGCCCCAGATCAGCACTGTTCTTCAGGTAATACTTCTCTAACTTGGCCAGTATGTGTTTGCCATAGGTATATTTACGCAGAGTTGTAATGTGGGGTCGAATCTACAAGAAGAAAAATCTAGTTAACTTGTATCTAAAAATCTCTTAATCTTATCTACAATAAATTATTCTTAATTTAAATATTTTCAAGTGGAGCCCTATATTTCAAAGGTTACAAAGAGTTTCCAGAAAGATTTAAAATTAGATTCTGAAGAACCAGAAGGCCAAGTGAGCCTTTTTCTTACTACAAGCATTTAATTCCAAGCTTGTTTAGTATTGGCTATCCAAATTTAGTTTAATTTCTATTAAATATATTTGTCTTCAAGTTTTTGTTTATTTAAATATGAAAAAATGAATTATTCAGAACATATCAATAAAAGAGAAAGAATTGTTTGTTTACTTTGTTAATTTTTTTGTTATGTGCCAACACCAGGAAGACAGCCATTCAATATGCCACAGAGTAATCAGAGTTCAAGCACAATTACTTCAATGGCTATTGAGCAGGGCACTATACAGGGTAGTGTAGATTAACTGTGATTTTCTCCACCTCTAGATATTCTCAACTAAGAAGCTTGTCTGCATGTCAAGGAGGAGGAACTAAGGCTACATCTACACTGCACGCCTCTTGCAATGGTGCGTAGGGTATGTGTAGCTACACACTCCAGCAAAAAGCAGGCTGTGGCCACACTGTGGTGCGTGGTACATGTGTCAGGGCAAGGCTCTGGCAGAGGGGCGAAAGAGGGGAAAGGCTTTTCCCCACTAACCCTCTCTGCCAGAGCCTCTACCTGCTGCCAGAGGCTTTCACTGTGGAAGGGGAAAGCTCCAGCAACTCCCCACGCCTGGAACCTTTTCCTGCCGCAAGGAAAAACTCTGGCAACAGGGAGCTGCTGCAGTGTAGACGTACCTTAAGTGTGGAAATCTGGCATCTGGATTAGCTACTATTTGTGTAAGTGATAGGTGAGGATGACTCACCCATTCATACTGGTGACTGTCACATGATGGAAGAAAATTTCAAAACTACTGATTTTCTAAAATGTATACTAAAGTAAATGTACAACAAGAGCATTGGATAGAAAATTTTTATGTTTTTTAATATAAAAAGTCAGTCTTTTTTTTAAAAAGAATAAAAATTAGATTAATACTAGACATAACTGTTAGGAGCTTTTTTCAAGGCCCAAACCATAAATCCGTAGAAACTAAACGAATTGACAAAGATCCAGTTATATCCTGCTTCACCAGACTATTAGAAATTTAAAATAATTAAAAATTAAAAAATTAAAAAGAGGATGTGCTTTTTATTTTATTAAGCCACAAATGCCCCCTTCCTGACAAGGGTAATGAACCTACAGGAAAGGTGGCTTCTAAAGAAATTCAGGTAAATTCAGAAATATATACAAAGAAGAGGTGACAGGAAACGTGAATATAGAAGAAAAAACCTCCTAAAGCTGATGAAACCATCTATCTATCTATCTATCAAGTACCTTGTGCATTATAATCTTCCGCTGCGCAGGTTCAGCCATATCAATCATCTTCTGAACAACATAGTTGGCATATTGGTCCTTCATCATGGTGTATAAGGCACTGTGAGGACCATCGTTCTGGCAACAAACCTCGTCAATAAGTAAAGCTCTTTCAGCACGAGATGCATGAGTTACACATTTTTCTACGACATTGCTGGGGAAAAAAAATAAGGTAATTGTGTTTTATAGGTTTAAAAGGTTTTGAATATTCTTTTAGGGTATTACTTTCTAATTTATTTGAATAGGGATTGGCACGTCTCAGTTTTTTATACATACATTATGACTGTTGTACTAAATATTGAAAAGTGCATGATGTATACCAAAAGATTAATTTCAACATTCTTCTGTTGGAAAATGACTCGAATTCCAAATAGTGTGTGAAACCTGCCTGGTTTCCTGCCAGCTCACCTGACTCTCTTCTTCGCAGCCCAAGTTTATAGGCTCCTGACTCCTCACGCAGACTGATGGGGAGCAGAGAGCCTAAAAATCCCTCGTTCCCAAGCCACCAGCTCCTTGGCAGCCCATTTGGTGGGCTTACAAACAGCCAAATATCTGGAAGCCCCAGCTCCCAAGCTCATGTCTCCTTGGCAACTATGGTTCTAAAAGTCCCTGATTCTACGTCAGACTGACTAGTGGGCTCCTGTGGAGACAAGGCTTCCCTGGACCCACAGCTCCCCAAGGAGCTGGGTGGCTGGCTCCCCACCTGGCCAGCTCCCTGGGAGGACATGCTTCCCAGCTGCCAGCCATTTTGTGAAAAATTCTCATGTTTTTTGTTCCACTATGGAACATTTCTTTTTATCAAAGTCTCATTTTTTCCACACAAATGGAAGCTCTAGGCAAATTATTAATCACCTTTGAATAAAGGCAAAATAATGAAATCCTTTCCTCAGCAACTGACGTAAATAAGTCAATTCCAAAACAACATTAAAAAGGTTAGTGAATCTTTCTTTTAAGGCTGAGAACATTGTAATACCTGGCAAATTTGTGCTGACTCAGAGCTAGAACTTTTCCTCTTATTTCTGAAACTATTTTACTCTTGTCTTCAGGACGACCGTGCTCCAGCACATGTTGGATAACATAATTTCCATATTGATCCTGAAAATAAAAAGATTTCAGTTTTCTTATTGTGGTTCCATCTGAGGAACTCATATAGCTTATGCATTTTTGTATTCACTTCGAGAAGTACAAGAGAAAAAATTAGTAACTGTAACTGACCATTACAAAATGATTAAAAGAGCACATCTGAAAAACAGCATTTCACCAAGAATTATTCATGGTCCTTCTACAGATTTTAGGTCCAAAATCTGAACCTTGCTAAAAATTGTGATTTGCCAAGGAATGACCACTATCTGCTAAATCCGTGTAAAATTAATTCTACACATTCACCACCAATGAAGCCACCAATTTTGTAGTGGTCATAAAACCTCCAAAACCTTCTGCAAGCTGATTCTACAGATGCTGTTAACTCACACTGTACCCTACACTATGCCAAAAGTGCTTAAACAAAGCTTTATCATCTCCATGTTCACTTATGCTTGTAAATAAATAGAGTTGGAAGCTGGGAGAGGAATCAATGTTTGCTAAATCAAAAAAGGACATGTACATAAAAATACCTAAGCAATTAACAGCCAGTAATATAAAAGAAAATGAAAACTACAACAAAAAACAAAGTTGATAGTAACTTCATATTGAAACATAAGAGTACACTAACCTGCACAAGCTGTTCTGTGTGTTGATGCAATTCCTCTAAGATGGGCAAAGTCTGCTCAGCAGTGCAGTGCTCCAGAATACGCTGAATTACTCTGCAGCCATACGGATGAGTTGAAAGCACAAACACCTTAAAACAACAAGATTACAAATTTTGAAATTAGATATACTGAAGTTTACAAGTGTGCTGTAAATTACTCTTCAAAAACGAGTTATTGAATATTAGCAACTTCTCAAAGTACTGAAGTCTTCACAAAAGTGGTGTCTTCCAGCATTAGAAATTTCAGCCTCCAATCACATTCAGAGCCAGAGAAAGTCATAAGCACTAAAGATCTGTGCCTAGGACCCCAGCTCCTGGAGCCATCTAATTACATCAGCTTCTCAGTGGCAGCAGAAATGTGCTCTGGGTACTGCCAACCCAGCTAAGCAGATACCCTAGCTACTGGTGTAAGTTTAACAGGGGCACTCCCACACAGCTGTTCCTGTTTTTCTTGATAGAAGGAAGGGGGCCACTTGCCACCGCTACTACATCATTTATGGGCAGACCCACAAGAGGCCCATGACATGATGTACTAGGGTCTCTGAGAGTCTTCACCTGCCTGATCACATTTAAGAAAAATATTTTTTTCACTCATGTTTCCTAATCTGGAATTTTATGTATTAACTGGATATTCTGGAATCTTATAAAACAGTTTTGAAATTCTGCAACTGATTATGCTATAAATTTTGCATTCCATCATATATACCAAGCCCATTGTTAAATACTTACAAAGTATGTGCATGTATTAAAAATATACAGTCACATCTTTGGCTTACTCTGGTTACTTAAATTCTTATCCAGACATGTCCTTGAAGGTTTGATTTAAGGCCTTAAATTTTTATGTGATGGCCAGGATTGAACACAAAGACTTACACCTGGAAGTTTTGATTAATTCACGCACAAAGTTAATAAAGCTAGTCTGCAAATTATTAAATTATCAAATTATTGAACAATCAAATTGTAACCACCTAGAGGATAATAGGGTTATAAGGAATAGTAAGCATGGATTTGTCAAGAACAAATCATGCCAAACCAACCTAATTTCCTTTGACAAGGTTACTAGCCCAGTGAATAGGGGAGAAGCAGTAGATGTGATATATCTTGATTTTAGTAAGGCCTTTGACACAGTTCCACATGACATTCTTATAAGCAAACTAGGGAAATGTGGTCTAGATGAAATTGTTATAAGATGGGTGCACAACTGGTTGAAAGACAGGACTCAAAAAGTAGTCCTCAATGGTTGTGTGTCAAACTGGGAGCGCATATCTAGTGGGATCTCACAGAGGACAGTCCTGGGTCCGGAACTATTCATATTTTCATTAAATGATTTGGATAACGGACTGAGGAATAAAATTTTCAGATGACACCAAGCTGGGAGAAGTTGCAAGAGCCATGAAGGATAGGATTAGAATTCAAACAACCTTGACAAACTGGAGAATTGGTCTGAATTTCAATAAAGATGAAATTCAATAAAGACAAGTGCAAAGTACTTCACTTAGGAAAGAAAATATCAAATGCATTACTACCAAATGGGGAGTAACAGGCTAGGTGGTAGTATTACTGAAAAGGATCTAGGGGTTATAGTTAAGGCTACGTTTTAGTCACTGTATTTTTAGTAAAAGTCAGGGACAGGTCACGGGCAGTAAACAAAAATTCACGACCCATGACCTGTCCATGACTTTTGCTAAAAATAGCTGTGAATAAAACTTGGCCACGGTTCCCAACCAATGGGAGCTGCAAAGCCAGCGCTCTGGGTGGAAACAGCACAGAGCTGCCTGGTCACACCTCCGCCTAGCAGCTGAGCGAGGGGGATGTCGCAGCTTCCGGGGAGCCCTCCAGGTAAGCGCCGCCCAGTGCCCGCCTCACCCCATCCCATGCCCCAACCTCCTGCCCGCTCCCACACCCTGCGGGGGGGGGGGGGGGGGGGGGGGGAGGGTGGGAGGGAGCGTCGTGGCCCAAGAGTGCCCCAGCAGCAGCAGGTGCGCCTGGCGCAGGGGCTGCCTGAGCTGCCCCTGAGCCAGGCGCCCCGGCCACTGCAAAAGTCACGGAAAGTCATGGAATCAGTGACTTTCTGTGACCTCCATGACAAACTCGCAGCCTCAGTTATAGTGGATCACAAACTGAATACGAGTCAACAATGTAATGCAGCTGCAAAAAAGGGTAATATCATTCTGGGGTGTATTAACTGGAGTGTCATATGGAAGACAGAGGTAATAGTCCCGCTCTACTCAGTACTGGTGAGGCCTCGGCTGGAGTAGTGTATCTAATTCTGGGCACCATATTTTAGGACATGTGGACAAACTGGACAGAGTCCAGAGAAGAGCAATAAAAATAATAAAAGGTTCAGAAAACCTGACTTATGAGGAAAGGTTAAAAAAACTGGGCATGTTTAATACTGAGAAAAGATGACTGAGGGGGGACCTGAAAACAGTCTTCAAAATTTGTTAAGGGCTGTTATAAAGAGGATGGTGATCAATTGTTCTCCATGTGCACTGAAGGTAGGACAAGTAGTAATTGGCTCAATCTGCACTAAGCGAGATTTAGCTTATATAATAGGAAAAACTTTCTTACTAAAAGGATAGATAAAGCACTGGAATAGGCTTCTAAAGGAGGTTGTGGAATCCTCATCATTGTAGTCTTTAAAGGACAGATTGGACAAACATCTGTCACAGATGGTCTAGGTTTACTTGCTTCTGTGTCAGCACAGGGGCCTGGTCTTGAGTTCTTGAGGTTCCTTCCAGCCCTACATTTCTACGATTCTATGAAAGTTTATCTTCTGTTACATTACAAAAGTGTTGTACTTTTTCATGTTTTCAATTACTACATTATATTACACCTGGAATAATGCATGGCTCTCCAGTAAACAGTGTTACAAATTAGTCAAGGGCATCTATTTATAAACCATTGAAACCAGCCCCTCCATCCCCTCCCCCCCCCCATCATACTTTGTTGTAAACAGCAAGGGGACTCGAAAAGTGAAATCAGCCATCATTTGTTAAGTCATGGTATTGCTATTCACAATAAAAGGTTAATATCACAGGGAAAAAATATCCATCTCAGTACTGTAAAGTGCGTGAGAGACAATGATATGTTGGAGATTTTGTAAAGAAATGTGTTTGGTCCATCACTAAATAAAACCTAATAATCTGAATTACTGTAGTTATACTTTTCAGACTAGACAAGTACAAGGTGGTCATACTAAAAGTTTATTTAGCTGCAGTGATTTCTGTATTGTCTTTAGTACAATATTAACCTTGTAATACAATTTCTTGGAAAAATGATCAGTGTCACCAGACACGTCTACTAATCCAGGCTCAGAGAACATCTGATTGAATTTAATACAGGTATTTTATTAAAAGTGATTAGAATCAGGTGGATAACTTTGGAAGAAACTGCATGGTGTCAAGTATCGGGGGGTAGCCGTGTTAGTCTGTATCCACAAAAACAACAAGGAGTCCGGTGGCACCTTAAAGACTAACAGATTTATTTGGGCATAAGCTTTCGTGGGTAAAAAAGCTTGATTTTTTTACCCACGAAAACTTATGCCCAAATAAATCTGTTAGTCTTTAAGGTGCCACCGGACTCCTTGTTGTTTTTGTGGAAGAAATTGCTACTACTTAAGGTAAAGCACATAGGAACAGATCGAGGAGAAATAAATCTCTCTTTACAAGAGAGTCTGGGAATAACTGCAGTTACTTCTATTGCCATGAACAAAGATCAGAGATGGCCTTTGGTTAACTGAAATAATAAAATATGACAAAGGAAACCTGATCATGTCAGTCTCTAAACTGGACTGAAAAACTTGACAATAAGCTGAGTATTTCTGCCATCAAATTCATAGAGCATCTGATGTCATTTTCAGAGGGCCTCATCCCCAATATACTCTAACTCTACGTCACATTAACCATCTAATTCAAGGGTTTTATTTTTTCCAGTTAGGACAAAAAAAGTGATGTTACATGCTATGTTAACTTAAACGAGACACCAATGTGTTGATAAATGCTGTTTGGTATTTGCAAATTATACAGCAATCCTTGGGTCAATGATGAACACCTAGACTAAAGTAGAGAAATTAACATTACCTGTCCTTTGAAAGCATCAATGATGAACTGGAGTGACTGTGGCTGGACACATTCAATGCATTTTTGTACAACATGGTTTCCATTTTGATCTTTCACACATTTCAGAACATGACCATCCAACTCTTTCACCATTTCATTCTGCAAAAAAATAAGGAAATTACTAAATTATCCACTTCTCTACACTGATGCTGTAGCAAAACTGCATTTTCGAATGTAATATTCAAACCTTTATGTTCACTGTAAATCTAGCCAGACAGATTATCTTTTTTATCTGAAGAATTACACTAATAAAAGATTCATTTTATTTCAAGCATATGTCAATAGTAAAAACTGAAAATCTTTAGAGAGCACGCAATGGATTTGTTGAAAATAAATACAAAAAAATACTGTTCTAACTTACAATTACCTGCTGGTCAGGTGAGATAGATTCTAGTGCTTTCTGAATAACCCGACAACCATACATCTGTAGGGCTAATGGCAGAACATGACCACGTATGCGTGTTGCTAGGGCTAACTTTTGTTCCGGGCTTCCAAACTACAAGAAAACAAAGATGCTGTTAAACGAAAGCTGATGCATTGCAGTATGATGTGGTTTTATTTGGCAGAAATCTAACGGTCATAGGGCTTGTCTCCACTTACCGGGGGATCGATGTGCGGTGACCGAGCCACAGGGGGTCGATTTAGCGGGTCTTCACTAGACCCGCTAAATCGATCGCCGATCGCTCTCCCATTGACTCTGGTACTCCACCGGAACGAAAAGCATAAGGTAAGTTGACGGGAGAGTTTCTCCCGTTGACCCAGCACAGTGTAGACACCGCAAATGGTCGACCTAAGGGGCAATCCTTTGCAATTTAACCGCATCATGTGATCCCAATTTGCCAATGAACAACATTTTCAATGTGCTCTTTCAATGTCTCAGATTTGGTTCTGTCACTGCATCTTGACAAAATCATTCTAATAAACCTAATAGATGACCTTTTTTCTAGGTAGCAAAAGGGAAGTAGCAGAGAAAGGGGTCAGCTCTGGAGTGGCTCACTGTGGCCTCAAATGCCATGGAAAGCTTGTTGGTACCTTGCACACCTTGGGGAAGTTTGGAACTGCCTAGGACCCATGAAGCAGAGCCAAAGTGTACCAGAACACTGGGTGTGTAGGTAGCTGAGGAGAAGTAGAACTGTCAGGCAATTTAACCTGCATTTAGTACTTGACGTTGGAACCCCTAAGCTGTATCTATGGATTAGTGCTGTCTTTCTTGGGAACATTTTTGAGGCTAGGCCTGAGTCAATTTAGGACAGCAAGATGAAATAACTACAAACCACCATCTAATGTGACCTCCTGCATAACAGGTGGTAAAATTTCAGTCAATAATTCTTGAGTTAAGGTCAATAATTTGTGGTTGAACTACAGAACACCTTTAAGACAACATCCAGTCTTTGTTTAAAGACTAAGTGAAAACAAATCTAAACCATATGCCTTGTGAAATTGTTCCAACAATTGTTTTCCCTGTTCAAAATTTGCAACTTATTCCCAATTTGAAGTTTTCTAGCTTCATCTTTCAGCCATTGACTCTTGTTATGATTTTACCCACATTAAACAGCCCTATAGTATCAGGTATCTTCTCCTGGCATATGTATTCATAGACCACAGTCAAGCTGCTTTTTATCCCTCTCTTTGAAAAAATTAGCAGATTGAGAGACTAAAGCAGTTTAGCATAAGATGTATTTTCCAGACCTCAGAATAATTCTTTGATGAACCCTCCCTAGCTTTTCTAACTTCACTTTTAAAGAAGTATAAACACCAGAACCAAACAGTACTTGAACAGAGGTCTGAAATACTTTATACAGAGGGAGTATCACCTACTTATGCATTCAAATTTTTTGAGAGCCCTTTCAATCACAGCACTGGACAGCGTTCATGTTCAGCTGGTTATCTACCATGGCTCATAAGTTCTTTTCAGAGCCACTCCTTTGCCAGGATGAAGTTCTATATCCTGAAAATATCCTTCTAATTATGCGCCCAGGATTTTTTGGCCATCTCACTGTGTGGACTAATCTGCACGGGGAAAAAGCTGGAGCATGCGGTACACAGAAACTGCAAAAGCATGCAGACTTAACATGCAAGGGAGTGCTGCATTCCTTTTCAACACCCCATCCTGGCTGCTCCTGCAGCTCTAGGGCACCTCCTCTACTTGGAGAAAGAAAAACCTTGGAAAGCATAGGAGTAGCTCAGGGCCGCCCAGAGGATTCAGGGGGCCTGGGGTCTTCGGCGGCGGGGGCCCCCGCCACCGAAGACCCGGCACTTCAGCGGCCGGTCCCGGAGCGGAAGGACCCCCCACCGCCGAACTGCCGCAGAAGACCCGGAGCGGAAGAAGCTCCGGGGGCCCGGGCCCGCGAGAGTTTTCCGGGGCCCCCGGAGCGAGTGAAGGACCCTGCTCCAGGGGCCCCGAAAAACTCTCGTGGGGGCCCCTGCGGGGCCCAGGGCAAATTGCCCCACTTGCCCCCCCCCTCTGGGCAGCCCTGGAGTAGCTAGAAGCAGAGGCAGCTTGTAGAGGTTAGATGCTGTGATGGCATTCTGACTCAGTGGGTGGGCAAGTGAGTGTGGAAAGAATCTAAGCCAGACCTATCATTCTGCAGAGATAATTTTTACGAGGGGGAGGGAGGGAGGGGGAGAAGAGGATGAGGGATATGAGCCTGTAGTGCAGCAAAGCTATACAGGGAATTTGGATTCAGAGAAAGAAGATGGAACAAATTATCCTAGCTGCACAGAACTCTCAAACAAAACAACTTTGTTGGGCTGGGGTTGCAGTTGAAAGTACATTACACATCTAAGAGTAAAAATCCACACAAGAACACCGTATGTTAACAAAAACAAGAATGAGAAACCAAGAGAAGCTGAGTTACAGTAAAAGTAACTAAATGTTTTAAACTATGGAGATACACAGCTAAGGGTCACCCAAACCAACACGGCTCTACCCTACTAGCAATTAATTGAAAACAAGCCGATTTTTAAAACAAAAGCATTTTAAGTCACTACACGAGTATCATATTTTTTCATTTTTTGCCTCCTCGTACTAGCTTGTGATTGTTGGATAGCTGGTGAATGGCACTGCTAGCATCAATTTTCAATGTATTTCTTTAGATATACAAGGAATTATTCTGGAACACTGCCCTGCTTGCCACCACAAAGAATTAAACTGAATGTGTGGAGAATTAAAATAAGTAGGAGGCATAATTGTGAACCCCTCAGGCACAGACTATGTCCATACATATTATTTTAGTTTAAACATGGCCATGTATGCACAATAAATATTTTCACTGAAAAGTTCATAAGGAGGTGTTTTTTTTTGGTTTTTTTTAAATCATGTGCAGTATTATTCTTCATTTACTTGACAGATTACAAAGAACTAGTGGGAGAGAGAACTGCAAGTTACATATATTGTAGGAGAATCTGTTATGGACCCTGATCAATAAAGGATTTTTAAAATACTGAGAAAAAAAATTACTAAATTTTAGGGTAACATTTTTAAAAATATGTATTTATTTTTCACATTGTGATGGACACTCATCTATTAAGATATTTATTTAAGCAAGTTGATGTGATGTTTATCTTAAAAATGGCCTTAGTGGGCCTAAACAAATATTAACACTTCAAAGCATCAGCCAAGGATCTCTACATAGCCGTACCGAGCAACGCAACAGGACTTCTATGCCCCTATCTATAATAAAGTGGGTCTAAAACTGTATTTCCTGGACTGGTTCTCAACACTGTTAAAACTTTAGGCTAACTGGTTTAAAAATAGTTCACCTGCAAAGTGTGGATGAAGTAGCACTGTTTTTAAAGCAATTTTAGAAGTCATCCCTACCTAGTCAAGACAAAAAATTTTCTAAGCGATAAGGAAACTACTGTGTCCCCTTACAATAGGCAGGCAAACTGCACTCACCCTGCTTCCTGAAACACGATTATAGCCTAAGAGTGGAGAGGATAACAACTGTCAACAGGACGGGGCCATGCCAGGACACCACCACACAAGGAAAAACTCTCCCACTCTTCTTGGGGAGCACTGAAGAGAAAACACTGTCAAGCAGCCTCCAGTATCAAAAAACATAGGTGCTATGGTAAGTGTACAATATCTGTTACAATATCGGAATAGAACCTTTAAATAAACAAAAAAGTCTTTTAGTGCAGGCACAAAAATGCTGACTAAAGTATATATTTACCTCAAAGAATTTCTGTATTACATAGTTTCCAAATACATCAGTCATCAACTGATACGCTGCTTGCAGAATCTCAGCAAATACCATCTGGCGCTCAGCTGGAGCAGCTCGTTCCAGCTTTTGCTGTATGAATCTAAGTGCAAGAGAAATTTATATGCCATTATATAAAAAAAAGTGAAAACCTCAAATACTACAAATCACTACATTTATTTTGATGAGAAATCAAATCACTAAAATTAGGACATTTAGTTAAGACTATATTTAGAAGCAATACATTCATTAATAGTTTTTTAAAATATAAATATAGACCTGTTTCAGAATAACACTGATGATTAAAGTTCCAATAAAAAAAAATGGCTGAAGGGTAAATTGCTCTTGACGAATTCTTCTCGCAATTTGTTACCATATCTAAGGCAGACAAAAAAAAGTAAAAAAATGACAACTAAGTAGATGGTGTGGTACTACTGAAAAATGTATTTGATTCCTGATTCCAGTCTTTTACCAAGGTCTTTTTGATACTTAAGAGAACTCCTAAAGTTTAGAAAGACTGATTCTATACTGAAAATATTTTTTACTTAAGAATTGTACATTTAGCTCCTTACATAACTTAAGGTGAAATTCTTCCTGGTATGAAGGGAGGCTAGTGTAAGACTTTCTGCACTACTTTAATGTAGCTCTATTCTAAAAACTGTCTCTGTAAAAATGATAGATACTTCACAGTGGGGCAACCACAAGTTCACGTTAAAAATGAAATGCTTTAACTCAAGTGATAAATGTTATTCCTTCAATTATAAGCTTCACTACAACACTTACCTCGAACCATGCTGGTCTTGAGAAAATTCAACTATATGTCCAACAAGGTCTCTTAGTTGAAGGTTAGGGAAGCGATTATTTCTGAAATCTTCCAGCAACCTACTGCGTCCAGAGGGCATAATATCAGACCTACTATAACGAAGACGTGAAGGAGGGAAGAGTTGGCTGCTGGAGCTAAAAAGACTGGAGGTACTCGTGGCACTGCGATACTTTGCTTCTGCTCCAGGTGCTGCAGAGATATAGCGACCACTACCATTTGTCAGCCCTCCTACAATGAAGCAGCTCTGTCAGTAAACAAGCTTTGAAGAAAGTAAGCAACAAACAGAACTGTACTAAAACTGTGTATGTTTTAAAGAAAAATTGTCTTTTTACTATTCAGTCACCTCAACTGAGATGAGAGAGTTGGTTATATTCATAAAAGAAATAAAGCACACCCACCCACACCCCCTTTTTGTTTTTTAAGGGAAGGGCAGGAGGTAGAACTTTCATTGAAACAATCAATACAACATATGAAGTGCTGTATATCTACACAAATGTATAGGAACTTTAGAACTGGGTGGTCTCAGCCCAATGACCCATGGGCAGGTTTCCACTTCACAAGTGGCACTATCTCATACCCTTGGTTGGTAATCTCACAGTTGGCCAAAGATTTGAATAGGCCACAGAAATTGAACTATTCTTTATCCCCTATGGTGATACTCTAGTCAGTTATGACAAAGTGGCAGGGCATTTTGGGGCCCTTGTGCTGCCATTGCCCATGCTGTACCTGTTCTGTGGAGAAAACAGAAGACGTCAGCATCCCAGGCTTTGCAAGCACTATACTTATGTGAAACAAATTTTAAGATAGAACATTAAAACGGTTCTGCTTTAAATATCTTCAACTGTTTTAGGATTAGTTAAATTGAAGTTCATTTAGAAATGGTAATCGCTCCACTGGCTGCCAATCCTCGATCATATCAAATTTCAGCTTCTCCTCAGCACCTCAAAAGCTCTATATTACTCTGCCCCTCCCTCCTTATATATGAACTGATCTTGCTTTGTGTAGCATCTGTTTCCTGCGAAGCCAGTATTTTCACCTACAGCTGTCCGACTGTCTTCACCTCACAAACCCATCAGCATCATCTTCCATGTTGCACCCAACAGATATCACCATAATTGAGTACCAGGCAACATATATTTTAACTGCTACATTATGATATGTAAAAGGGATACTGCTACTTTAATGTAAATAATAAATAATGAAAGTCACATTTCTACTTGAAAAACTTGTACCTACTATACTGACAGACACTAAAAAAAATAAGGGCGGGGGGGGAAGCTACATCACTTTCAATGTTTTCCCTGGAGTTAGAGAGGGAGACACTAACTCAGACCCTTATTAGCATCACAGGAGAGCAATAACCCTCCCACTCCCAACCCAAAAATCACTTACTCATTTTTAAAAAGGAATTTCAATGTGTGCTGTAAAGAAGGGTGTTCTATCAGGAAACCGATTTTAAAAAAAATTCAAACTGACAGTGTCCTTTTAAGCGATAACCAAGCCTTTGATTGGTAATATTTTGCTGACCAATCTACTAGACCAGGCAACCAAGTTATTACAGTGGGCTGGTAAACATTTATAAAGTGTCCCAGAATCTTTTTTGAATGGCCAGCTGAGATGTATGCAGATTGAGATATATTAGTATATCTGGAGTCATTTACATTACATTGGATAGCACAATGAGCTAAAAGGGAAACAAAAGGTAAGTAATACTAATTGTAAAATAAATATTTAAAGGAATAAGTAGTTTAGGTCCCTAATTGGATCTGTAGCATCTCAAAATGATATAAAAAAGTGCTCTAGTCTCAAGGTTTTTTTTGTTTTTTTGTTAAAATCGACTACTTTATTGTTATGAAGTTAGCTGCAAAATTCACATCTCACAGCTACCATTTATGTGATTTCCATTATCAATATTTCCAGAAATGGGCTGACTGATAATAATGTAAAGGGTATATTATTATTGTATAGGTCAAGATGGATGCAGAGAAAGTTTATGCAGTGAGACTTTTTTTTTTTTTTAAACCAGCTAAGGATTGAAAAAATCATGCTTTTAAATGTTATCCTTTTCAGCTCTAAGTAATTACAATTCAAGACTAAATCTCATTATTAGTTTAAGAATAGTGGAGTAAATCTAATGCCACAACATTTCAGCAAAGTTTGTTTAATAGCGATGTGAGTGCAGCTTTAATACAACTTGCCTCCATAATAAGACTGGCAGGATTTAAAATTCGTATTACTTTATTACACAAGTACTGTATTCTGTGTAAAGTAACAGGACATTTGAGTAAATGCGCCTATATTTTATGGATCTAATTAGCGCATGCACACAAAGATGGAATTGCATGTGTGAATTAGGAATAATTTAAAACACACACTTTTGAAAAACAGGGCCCATGAGAGCATAATCTGGGTATGACAATTTTTCTGTTTGTTTTAACTTTTTGGGTAAGTCGTCTAACACAAATGTATTAATAAATTTATATAGCAAAATTTCATCCTTAAGGATCTCAAAGCACTTTACAATTAAATTTTATTTGGAGAATTGTTCCTGGGAACAATTTGTTTTCTTTTTAATATTGTCAATGAAAGTATATACTAACTCAAAGGAAACAGTAACACCTGCTGAATTACCAACTCAAAACCCTGCTGAAATACTGTCTTGAGAACATAAGAATGGCCATACTGGGTCAGACCAAAGGTCCATCTAGCTCAGTATCCGGTCTTTTGACAGTGGCCAATGCCAGGTGTTTCAGAGGGAATGAAAAGAACAGGTAATCATTAAGTGATCCATCCCCGGTTGCCCATCCCCAGCTTCTGGCAAACAGAGGCTAGGGCCTTCTATTCAAGAACTATCCTAGCTCTGTTTAGCTTCTGACATATGACAAGATCATAGCATAACTTGGTATGGCTGAAGACGTATCTCCATCCCTCAATAGTTGATCAGCATGGAGAATTTGTCAAACTTCTAGTATTGTTCTGCTCTGAAACATGAAAAGTAAGAATGACTTCTTCCTTAAATCTGCTCTCTATTTGTATTGAGACACATCTGTTTACTTCAGTAACAACTTAAAGAAATCTGTGCTACAGAAGTTACTGGAAAGTTTAAACAAAATATTTCGGGGTATACTGATTTGTTGATGAGGTGGTTAGCTTTGCTACTATAATGAAGTATTACATCAGAAGGAGTGTTCTAGCTTAATAATGAACGGAACAGACTGCAAATGAAAACCCCTAAAATAAAAGAAAGAAGTCATAGATATTTATTGTATAACTATATATTCTTGCTCATTGTGTTGACAGATACAAGGATTACTCAGCTTTGTACTTCTCATCTATTCTACTCAGACATTCTTAGTGCACAAAAAAATAACATGCAACCAATACCATCTGCAGAAGTGCATCTCAGCTATTTCTATAGTTCAGGACACCTTTCAATTATACTCAAAGATTTATTGTTTATAGCACTGTAAATTCTTCAAAACTGAGAGCTAGTTTCTAAAGTGCTTCTGGCTACCTTACTATGTCAGGTTTGTTCTACAAAAATTCAAAAACTTATTTATTTTGCAGATTCCGATACCAAAACAGAGGTCTAGTAAGCCAATTCTTTTAAATGAATTGGCCAACTGATACATAATGCATTGCTCCATTCATTAAATGGATTGGACAATGACTAGCTTTCAAAAGCACTATCTACAAAAGTTTGCCAACTAATCTCCCAGGTAAGTTTAGAGACCGAACTATTAACAAGAAGAGAACCAAACAGGATATCATCTAGTATGAGATCAAGTGCACAATATGCCTAATACGGTAACAAAGAGCACATTTATTTGTAGGGTGACCAGATGCCCCGATTTTATAGGGACAGTCCTGATTTTGGGGTCTTTTTCTTATATAGGCTCCTATTACCCCCACCCCCATCCCGATTTTTCACATTTGCTGTCTGGTCACCCTATTTATTTGCTACCACTTCTGATTTTACACAAGGGAGATCTTCAGTATGGTAAAACAATAATTGGGCCAATACAAATTTTAAACAGTCCTATGAATATTAAGTAAACTACTACTATCTAACTTAGATAGTACACATTATTTCATGAAACAGGAAAAAAATGAAAAAGAATATTTAAAAAGTCCAGTATCACCAATTCCTTTAGATATCAAGAAAGCAGTTAATACTTATTAAATTATTTGTTCAAGAATTTCTCCCCAAGAAGTAAAAGAGCTCTGCCATACAACAGCTGTTGTGTTTAAGTGTGGTTAACAATCTTACTTTCTAACATAAAAATACAGTACAATGATTAAATAATTAACACGGGCTTATTTTTTTATTTGTAATAAGGGAACAGCCCCAGCGGATCCTCAAGTAAGAAGAGGTCAGCTCTATTTTTTATCTGCTCAAGGAAAAATGTAAAGGACTCAAGTATATAAAGGTTTTTCATAATTTATTTTGTCTATATTTCAGAAATGAATTCAGTGCTTATGACACCTCCACAGTCAAGGCGCTACACAGTAGCCCACATGAGCTGACAGTGGGCCTCGACTCTCAACCAGACTGACCAATTCTTAAGGCCACCTCTATGGGAAAACTAAAACAGCATCAGCAGTTCAGGCTAAGCAGCTTTGCCTGGACAACATGGACAAAGTATAGCTTCAAAACTTTGCTCTGGTCTAGAATACTTAAAACAAAAGTCGTCCCAGTGTTTTAAACATGGCTTAAAACCAGTTGGGCTCACAGTTTTATCACTGTGAGTGAAAGGATAGTTTAGTGTCTTGAATCATTCAATTCGCAGACTTTCTACTGAAATTTGGTATTAGAAAGGAGCTGTTACAAGCAACCAACTTGTACTGTGATGGTTTGACAATAGGGGACAAATTACTAAAATAATTGAAGTGAGCTTACACTTTGTCAAGTGGGAAAGAAAGGAGATGGTGACAGGAGATGAATGCTATTTTAAAATTTTAAATTTCTTGCAAAGGAGCAGTTGGTTGTTTAGGCTGTGTCAACACTATAATTTGCAGCAGGGTCTGACAAAGGGGGTATGAACCATGTATGCCTCCACCCACTGTTGCAGTGGTATGGACAGGATCAACTGAGTCCCAGCCACCATTTTAAGAGAACAGGAGTTAAATGTAGTTAATCCTGTCCATACCAGCATGCAGCACAAAGGACTTCAACACCAGATCCAAAGGGGGATTAGACCTGTGTTTGACAGGCATTATCAAAATACAGATGAAAACTGCAGTGCAAACACAGCCTTAAAGTATTGTTCTGCTCTGAAACATGAAAAGAATGACTTCTTCCTTAAATCTGCTCTCTATTTGTATTGAGACACATCTGTTTACTTCAGTAACAACTTTTGCTACTTTTTGTACCTGACAGCACTACTGAGTCAACACAGCTTTCCAAGAGAAAGTAATAGAACAGGTAACTACATTTCAACTGCAGGGCACCCTTTACGTTTGTGCAACCCCATTAGAGACAATCCGACTGAAAGAGTAACTGAATCTTCATTACTGTTAATTATGAGAGCTAAAAAAACCACAATGACTTTCAGATTTTAAATTGATTTTGCAGGACAGGAAAACAATTTTACATGTAAACTGATCATATCTGATCTGGAAATGTTTGAGACAAAGTAAGCATGGAATCTCACGGTCCATTTTATAAAGTCACTTTTCAGAATATAGCTTTATGGTCTCTACATACTTTTTAGCCATTAATCCAATACACTATTTTAACAAACAATTGGGCTTAGCCCACACTGTCAGGCAGACAGTCTAAACTGTTTAAATCCTGTTTAACTCAATTCTGCTGACCCGTGTAATCCTTGATACTGATGGCACCTATATATTTTTTCAAAACTGGAAAGGCTCCTGTTATTTAACACAGTTCACTAACCATACAGATTTCATCAACTTTATGGATACAGATAATGCCCCCAAATTTTGGATTTAAATTATAGCTTTCACTGTTAGTGAAAGCTCTAGTTAAGAACTGCAAAATGGTTTTCATGATAACCTCATTGTCAGATGCAATTTTCTGAAAAGCTTCCATTTGGACTGAAACTTTCCGTGCATGGTCTCTGCCCAAAAGGTGCACTTTATAGACATAAAAAAGGAAAAAACGGTTAAAAAAATAAATCAAGTTGCTAAAATGTACCCTTACCCATTTTTTATTTAGAGAAGTCAGTATATAGCCATAAAGTCATATTAAAGGGGGACACTAAATTGTAACTGTATTATATATTTCAATTATGCTTAACACGAATACATATACCACTTATACATTTCTTGCTTCAAGAAATTTCTATTTCCCTAGAGCCTCAGTTCTCATTTCTTCCTGTTTTAATTTGTACAAAAATATAAAAGTGTACAAGTATTAAATTGTCTACTACCTGCATGGATGGATGACTGTGTACAGTAGTCAATGGGGCCAAGTGAAATTCATTCTAATAGTTATGTGCAATCATGCATCCAAATGTAGAAAACCACAAAAATTTACAGCGAAAAAGAGGAAAAGGCTTTATGAAGTAACCCTGAATTAAACACATGATATTCCACATATATACCTATTTGTGGGTTTGGGTGAGTGTGGTGTTTGTGGTTTTAAGATCAAGCCACCACATGTTCTTACTGGATCAAATATTTCTAGAACTATTGTTAACAAATAAATTTGAAAATAATACAGAGGGGCACCACAGAAAGAATGTATTATGGATCTATAACCACTTGATTTTCTTCATCTGCTTGGTGATAATCCTTGATGTACTGGCAAAGTAGCTGACCTCAAGACAACAGACTAATTGATTCAAAATGATCCTTCAATACTTTCAATATTGTGAGCTTTGCTTAAGTTTTTCTCCTAATATTAGCATATCAGGTGATAGTGAAAGTTATTTCACTATCAAACAATACATTTGCTCATATCAAAGGGTCCTCGATAAATATAAGTAGTACACTCAAATCACAAATAAGAATAATACACTTTTGCCTGTTGAACATAGTAGAAAGGAATATATACTACAAAAATTGAGTTGTCTTACTGGGCATCAGACCTTCCTTTCTACTTTTCAGATCTGAAGAGTGGTAGAAAATCAATTGTTGGCTCCATACTGCAAGATGCTGTGTGCTCTCCACTGTCACATCAATGAGAGTTTGAGTGCACTCTGCAACTTTCAGAACTGGGCCCTCTAATTAAAACACTATTTGACAGCAAAGATAGCGTGACATCTTTTATGCAACATACAATATTTTACACATATAGAAATACATACACACATACAAACAAAAAGGGTTTTTTTTTGTTTTTACCTAAATGCAAACTGGATGAGGATCCATGTGATGAAAGTGATGGCGGTGGCGTAAGTGAATGTCCTGGAGTTTGGCTTGGCAGAGGCATGCCTATTGGACTTGGAGAGGAGGAAAATCCCAGACTATTGTAAAATGGCTGCCCTATGGGTGCTAGGCTGCTACTAGATCTTTTGTACAAGTCAGAGCTAGTAGATAGAGAATCTCTCCTTGTGGCACTACTACTTGCAGAACTGCCAACTGAAGAAGAAATAAAAAAACCCTAATTACATACAGTGTCAACTGAATAAAACCTATCCCCAATTACAGCTGGGCAATAACAGATGTGATCACAATAACTATAACAATTGTTATGATAAAGACAATTACTGTGATAACCGTACATGCTTTTGAATAAATCACAAACGGGTATAAACATACCACAGATAAGGAAGTATTTTAACTCAATGCCCAAATCTTTTTTGACATTTCACTTCAGACTTTTTACTGGTATATTGTAGTACTATGTTTTAGTGTCCTGGCTTCAGGCTTTGGGATCAGCAGTCAGGAATTTCCTACACTATGCTTTATATGATTCAGTGGGGCTGAAAGTATTGCCACTAATATCTGCAAAAAAAATTCTCCACAGGAAATAATTCAAGTTGGTGCCACTTGGTTTCAGGAAACTGGCTGGATAAAATAAAAGTATTTGCTTAAAAGCTGAGAAAATAAAATAATGAATCTCCTTCACTTTTGCCCCAGCTGCTACTGAATGTCTCTTCTTTGTCATACACCTCTTAGAACTGTGGAAACCAACTGGCCACTTTAAGTAATTCTGCTCGAGTCAGTTTTCAAATTCCCTGAGAGAATTGTTGGTTTTCAAAGAGAATATTTTGGATGAAGATCATAAAGGGGTATAAGCTGAAAAGAGGAGAAGCAGAGCACAGGATGGGATAAACAAAATAAGGTGAGGAATTGGGTACAGCTTTAAATAATATTGTGGCATTGCTTGAAAGTAAATTATGGACTAGAAGCTTAGGCTAAATTGTGTTAGTGAAGGACTGCTATATTGCCCAGTATTATCTGCAGGCTGATGACCATTCTAAGATAAATTAAGGGATACATATGAATCACCATTTTACAAACTAAAAAATTCTGAAATGTTATGTAATAGTGCAATGTTAAAACAAAGTTCCTGTTTTAATTTTGGAACATTTCTAGCACACTGGAGAATGGAACTAAGGCTGCTGCATTTCCAAAAATAATGAGCACATCTTGAACTCACTTTGGCAAATTGATTTTTATGTCAGTTTAAAAAAGGACAGGATCAAAGCTGACAGTTTTAAGTCTGACATATGTATAAATAACAGGTGGGGCTGGTAGCACTGCCTACTATTAAGGTTGCTTGACACTTTCTAGGACTGGTAGCACCATGTATTATTACAAGATCCTATTTTTCAGTTGCTTTTAAGTTTAACCATTTGGGCTGAAACTTTCCTTGCTGCATTCCTGCCTCAAGCTGAATTTTTTGGAAAATTTCATTCAGAACAGTTCAGCCATTTCAGAGAGACTGGGGTTAGTGAGGAGTAAGTTTTACTTATAGGGTTACCATTCGTCCGGATTCCCCCGGACATGTCCGGCTTTTTGAGCTAAAAATAGCGTCTGGGGGGAATTTGTACATGTCTGGACTTCCCCCCCCCCCCCCCCATGCAGAGCACGCGTGGCTAACAGGGCAGCCGGCCGGATGGTGCCACTTACATGGGGCTCCGACAGCCAGAGAGAGCCCCTCCTCCGCTTCCCCCTCCTCTCCCCTACAGCTGAGAGCACTCCCTCCCTTCCTGCATTCGCAGATTGCCTCCAGCAGTCTAGAGCTCCTCCCCTGCTCCTCCTCCCCTGCTACCCAGCCTGCCGGGACAAGCGGCTCAGGCCGTTCCTGAGCAAGTTCACTGAGACATTAGGCGAAGGCCAACAACAAGGGGGCCAGGGGGTTGGAGAAGGAGCAGGGAGG